AGTTCAAGTATTCACTTTTATACCTTTTTGAATATTTGAGGGAAATTTTTTCATGAAAAAATAGACAAAGGGGTTTATTGAAAAAAGATTTTTTATTTTTTATTTACTTTACCCTTTATTTTATTAATAATTTTATTCTTAGATAATTTATGTCATTTTGAAGTATGAAAAGGGGGAGAGAATCAGAAGACCATCAAGAGTTTGTTGGCTCTCTGACAAAACTTTGAGGTACATATTTGACTGGAATCCACCCAAATTTATGTTGGGATTCATTTAAATTAATGACATAATATGACCTCAACATGTACTTTTATATATGATGCACAGCTAGAGCTTGGCTGGCATTTTGACTGCTTGATTCTCTGTGTGTCTCAGTACAACTTCCTAGCTAGCTACCTGGTGAGTCCTGCTGATAAAAATTCTTTTGATCAATTTGGGATGGTGAGAACCAAACAAAACTTATTTTTGTCATTCCAGCTACTCAAAAACACTATTTGGATTCAATGCATGGACCTAGTTGGCTTATAAAGTTTATTTATTTATTTATTTATATTTATTTTTTATCATTTAAAGGTACAAAGGCCTAAAGTCAAGATGGCAGTACAGAGGCATAAAGTCAAATCAAAAAAGGCAAACAAATCTTGAAACAAATCTAATAAATGAAGAACATGCTCTAAATTTGTGGAGGAAACAGAGCCTAACACTCTGCAAATGAAACCACCACGGAAGAACGCAGCAAACAAGAGAGACCGAAAGATCTAGCCATCATCATGGCAACCGCTACAAAATTACAACCACAAGGCGCTCCAACACCTAAGAAACCCCGCACAAGATCAAATCAAGAAAAAAATGATTAAATCGAGGTGGGGAAAACCAAAACCGACTTAGACCAGAGAGCTAGTCGGAGAAAATAACAAATCTACCCATGTGATTCGAAAACGAACCGAACATAAATAGATCTAGCCGAAGAAAACAAAAAAAAAAAAGGCATAAAAAAACACACGGAGCACACTTATTGAAACACGCCGAGTTTATTGCAGCCGTGGGAGGCGGCCTTCATCTCCCCACCTCATGGAAGGGAGCAGGGAGGCAGAGTGAAGAAGACCAAGCTGCCTGTTAGAGAGAGATGGGAGAAAAAGTTGGGGCGGTAAGGTAGTCACATCCTTATAAAGGTATCATATTTTTCATTCACACTATGAAAATTAATGGCATTACTTAACAGTCTTGTTCCCATTTATTTATTTGAAGTTAAAGCAATTACGCACGCACTCTAACTCCACTGAGGTTCGAATCCCCGACTTCTCTTTTGAGAAAAAAAAGAGTGATATCGCTGGGTCATTTGGTCCTTTGGTTCTTGTTCCCATTATTATCGTCAGCTACATAATGTTTTTCCGTCAATTTCACTAAGCAAAAAATAATAAAATAAATAAATAATGCATATAACAACTCTCTATTAAGTTTTGTGTATTTCCCTTAAATATTTTAAAATGTGTGTGAAGGACGTAATGTCATCTAGCCATTAAATAATTATCATCGAGAAGTCACCTAAGTAGAACATATAGAGATGCCAATGAGGCGGTTTGGGGGGAGGGGATTTCATTATCCATCCCATCCTTGTTTAATTTTTTCACCCACATAATCGCACCAAAACCCACTGAATTTTTCAAAGCAATCCCCTTCCCCATTAACATAATTAGTTCCCAAAACCACCACAAACGGGGCGGGGCCTCGCCGAGATAGGAATTTTTGCCATCCTTACTTGCGACTTTTTTTTTTTTTTTTTTTTTTTCAACAAGACTTGAGACATGAAACGACATAAGGGTTAAAGTTTCCTTCTATGTATATATGTATATATACTTAACCTATTTTAGTAATATATCATAATTTGTCGGCGAGGATGATGGTTTGATGGGTTACCGGCGACGATGATAAGTTATCAACGACGATGGATTGATCTTGCCGTCGGTGTCGAAGAGATAGATTTGTAGATGCTTGAGCCTCTCTCTGTTTCTGAAGTGTCAAGAGTGTGAGATGAAATGAGAGGCTAGGACTAAGGTTTTAGAAAAGTGTGTGTGTGTGTGTGTGTGTGTATATATACATACTTAATCTAATTTAATAATATATCATAGTATATAAGGGCAATTTAGTGAAATTACACCATAATCGGGGCAGGTTTACCCTTCCCCCAATACCCCCCCCCCCCGGTGGGGCGCGCGACCCCCCATCCCTATTTTCATAAATGGGTCCCCTAACCCTCCCTAAATGGGGCGGGGTAGGTTCCTGTCGGGTTAGAGACTTTTGCCATCCCTAAGAACATATGGTGTTCGAGATTCAAAATTCCAAAAATATTTTTTTCCTCTTTAAAATATATCCCTTACCATAAATGCGCACACACACACACACATACCAAGAGATATATTTACTCTTTCTCTCCATCTCTCTCTTTTTCTATCCTTTTTATCCAATACTACAACATGCAATGCCTCCCTGAGTTTCTTACTTTCCAGTACTACTACTATATAATGCCCTAGTCAATTAATGAATTTTCACAATTTATCTTTTTTAGTGCCTGACCATTCAATAATTTCTCCGTTTGGTAAATTTCACTTTCCTCTATTGACGTTTGTCAATATCTTACATAGACTTTCTCTACATTTCATAATTTCTCTTACCTCCCTGTTAATAACTGTCGTCCAACTTAATAATGGTAGTGTGTTATTTTATCAAATGTTTACTGTCATTTCCTGTGGTAGAAGGTCAAAACTGATCTTTTATTAATTTTCTGCCGCTAACATCAACAGATTCTGTTTATTACATAAACTAGAACCTTAACTGAGGTAAGTAAGATTATGAAACATAGAAGGATCCATGTGTGATATTGACAAACTTCAGGAGAGATAAGAAAATTTTACCCTTTATCTTTTCACAATTTATCTTGATAGGAAATAACCACTAACTATTAGTATAAAGGATAAATTCCATTTACCTCCTCTGAGGTTTGTCAATATCCCAAATAGACCCTCTACATTTCATAATTTCACTTACCTTTCCTGACAATGACTTTTTTACCGTTTTGCCCATGAAATGTTTAATGTCATTCAAGCATTAGAAGGGCTAAATAGCCAGGTAGAGGAAATTGTTACATAACTAAAACCTCAAGAGAGATAAGTGGAATTATGAAACATAAAAAGGATCGATATGGATATTGACAAACCTTAGAGAAGATAAGCAAAATTTACCCTAGCACAAAATACTACATTATCTTATCTTGGAATGCAAAATGGTTTATAGCCGCAGGCCTCACAATTGTTCCTAAAATTTTCATTTAATCCAATCACAAAAACAACCCAATTCAACCACTATCAATGTTGCTCTTAATTCATCCAATTCAGCTCAAAATCCAAATGAATTATCCTTATTTGGGAGCACTAAATGGGCAATATAAATTTAAAAATGGAGAAAATTTAGTTTCAAGCTGTCAATTCCGTAGGAGTGGCAATTCGTGCGAACACGTCAACCTAAGGATATTATACTAAACAACATAACCCAAATAGGACCAATTTAATAATTGTGTTATGAACCCTCAACACTAACCAGGCCTGTTTATTAAATAGATTATACATGTAACCCGTTTAATGACTTATTTAATAAAACGAAATATTATATTATTTAAATTATTAATAATACTCGATCAAACAATAAATATTAAAAAAATATAAGTTTCAATCTAACCAAATTACTAAATAAATTATAAGATACCTAGTACAAGTTTATATAGTTATTTTGAAACTTAATAGTATTTTTTTTATAACACATATAGTTAAACGAGTTATACGGGGTTTCAATCCAAACATGACACGATTAACAAACGGGTTAATCATGCTAAACCGTTTAGGACCCGAATCCGTTTCAGGTCAATCCAAACTCGCTTAACTCGTGTTGTATTCGAGTTATGTTGATGGTTCGTATCAAACTTTGCCACTTTACTATTCCATACTCCCAAAAATAACATTAAAAATATTATAAATCACAGGATATATATATATTTTTTCCGAAAGGTGATCATAAAATACTAGCATACTTATGCATATACGTAGCCATGTAGTATTTATTTATTTTGGTAACTAACCCTTTAACGTGTTACTTTATATATGATCCAAAAGTTTTTCAATTGCATACATTTTGTACATAAAACAGCAAAACACTAACTCCTAGGGGATGAAAATGAAATGAACACCAAGACACCAGAAGAAGAAATTAAGATGAATCTAAGGTTAAGTCCAACCACTAATTAACAAAAATTAATTAGGGCCTTTAAAAATTATCCAAAACTCAACTAAAAAAATAGATGGAACCATCCCATCATCCTCTCAAAAACAAAAAGTGAAAAAAAAAAAGGAAAAAAAAAAAAAAAAATCCCTAGACACCTACAAAACCTACATAACCATCGACAATGTCATTACATCCCCAACTCCACATCCCTGCAACTCGACCCTCCATCACTGACCTCTTCCTGCAGACAAAATGCACCAAATCAGATATATTACAAAAACACACACACACACACATAACAACTGTTAATCCCCCAATCAATTTTTAATAACCCTTAAACATCGAAGACATGTTCAGTTCAAAATTTTCAGATAATTTTTATTTTGAAAACTGAAAAATCAGAAAATTGTACAAAAATAAATAAATCAATAAATTGTTTAGTTGATGGTTTTTGAAAACTATTCTCCAAAAAAACTCAGTTAAGAAAACGTCCATTTTTAAAAAATTAGAATATTATTTTTTAAAAACTGAACCACACAGAGTCCAAAATAATTTAAATTCCAAAGACCACAAATACTGTTATATATATATATATATATAAATTGGGTTTGAAAGACCACAAAAGACTGTCATATATATATATATATATATATATATATATATATATATATATAAATGTAGGCAATTCTTCTAACTCAACTTCATAAAAAAAAATAGCCATCCCAGCTGATACAACCTCTTTTCCTTTAAAGGGAAGGTGATGGGTTCCAACTCCACAGTGAACATTTGTGGGTGTGTGAGAGTATTTAACGGATCGAGGAAGAAGGAAAAAAAAAAAATTTAATAACTTCATAAAAAAAAAGTTAAGAGAACTTTGGACTAAACATATATTTGAGTTATATTTTTTTCTCTCATTCGTACCTGTGAAGACATGTTGGCATGTGCCTCCTCCTGAATCAAAGCAGGCCTCTTTTCTACAAACCCATCATTCTTAGCAGATTTCCTGGACCCTATGTGAGTGTTCTTCAGCCCCAGAAGCTCCTTCCACCTGGTGGAATCCTTAGGAGGCCTCATTGAAGCTTTGCCAGTACCGCCATCACCGTCGTCGTCGCCAACCAGTAGCTCATCTCTGAGAGTGGTCTTCTGGCAATGGTTGCTGCCACAGTCCTTGTATGGCAACAACCTACCCTTAAAGAAGAGCTCATCAGCACTCATCATGGAGTAATTGGTCACAGAGAATTCAAAGTCTGAGGACACCGGAGCTTCTCTGGAGGACCTCTCACGGTGGTGAGAGTGATTGGAGGAGTCCACAAAGTCATTTGAGAAGGAGATTCTAGGGCTCATTGAGAGGCCATTGTTGGTGGAGTTTTGGTTGTACATGATGTCTAAGCATGCCATTTAGGACATTCAAAACAGCATAGTTAAAAGAAGGGTTGGGGGGGGGGGGGGGGGGGGGGGGGGTGGGGTGGAATGAACTCCCTAATAAAGTCTGTTGTAGTCCCTCTTTTTCCCACAGTGAAAACCCCAACCAAGGGGGTCCCTCTTTTTCCCAGTGAAAACCCCAACCAAATATATCTATCTGGGGGGGGGGGGGGGGGGGGGGGGGCGCGGGGGGTTGTTTGAGGGAATGAACTCCCTAATAAAGTCTGTTGTGGTCCCTCTTTTTCCCACAGTGAAAACCCCAACCAAATATATCTATCTGGCGGGTGAGGGAACGAACTAATAAAGTCTGTCGTGGTCCCTCTTTTTCCCACAGTGAAAACCTCAACTAAATATATCTATCTGTATTTTATGTGCACTAGACAGTGGTATGTTTTTTCCTTGACTACATGGATGTCACGTCACGTCAGGATATGATGTTTTGTCATCACATATTCATTGGCATTCAATAATGACCATTGGATAAAATTCAAAAGTTCTTCTGTCATTTAGTGCTTTTAGTGCTTCAACACTATGGTGACAATGAGATCTAGAATTTTCTTGCCCTAATTTTCCATTTCATCAAATCTTTTGATCATGATATTTTCTCCAACTTTAAGATGGCTTGAGCTTGAATTATATATATATATATATAAATAAACATATATAAATGAATATATAGTGGAATGACACAAAAATAGATTTATGCATGTAACTGATATTAAATAGTTGAAAAATATTTTATCTCACAAGTTGAGTTAACCTATGATCTCTAAACAACAAATAATTAGGAGAAAATTATCTTAGTAAAATGGTATTTCATTGATACTTTGATATACACATATACTATTTATAGGCTATACAAGGCATTAAAAAAGAAACAAAATAACTATACAACCAATTTTTTTTATTTACAAAGTTGACTAGGCCTATACTAATTTTTCTTATTTACAAAGTTGACTAGGCCTATATTTAAATATAAAATATAGCTAGGCAATCCCTAAAGATCAGCAAAAAATCTTAACCGAATATTCTCCTTTCCAACACTCTCCCTCAAGCTGGTTTGAAGATATCTTCTATAGCCAGCTTGTCCCATCAATTTCTCAAATTGTTTCTTAGACAGACCCTTTGTAAGAAAATCCGTAATCTATTCATCAATTGGTATATAGGTCATACAAATCTGCCCAATCTCTCTATTTTCTCATTGGTAAAGTGCTTGTCTACCTCAACATGCTTGGTTCTGTCATGAAAAACAAGTTTATGTGCTATTGAGATTGCTGCTTTGTTATCACAGTATGCCTTTATCGGAGAGGGACTTGAGACCTTCAGCTCGTCTAAGATTCTCTTAACCCACAACACCTCACAAATTTCGTGGGCAACTGATCTAAGTTTGGCTTCAGCACTACTTCTTGCCACTACATTTTGCTTTTCACTAAGCCAAGTAAAAAGGTTTCTTCTAACAAAAGTACAGTAGCAAGATGTTGACCTTCTATCAGTTATACTCCCAGTTCTATCAATTATACTACCAGCCCAGTTTACATCTGTATATACTTCAATTTGTAGGTGACCGTGCTTTTCAAACAGCAGGCCCTTCCCTGATGATCCCTTTAAGTACCTTAGGATTCTTAAAATTAAATACACAGCCTCGAAGTGTTTTAGACCTGGTGAGTGCATAAATTGACTTACCATGTTCATTGCAAAAGCTATATCTGGGCCAGTACGTAACAGATAAATCAGTCTACCAACCAGCCTCTGAAATTGTTCCCTATTCTTCACATCTCCGGGTTTAGCAGAGGCTGATGAATCCTTTAAGTACCTTAGGATTCTTAAAAGTGCACAGCCTCGAAGTGTTCTAGACCTGGTGAGTGTATAAATTGACTTACCATGCTCATTACAAAAGCTATATCTAGGCGAGTATGCGACAGATAAATCAGTCTACCAACCAGCCTTTCAAATTGAACCTATTCTTCACATCTTCAGGTTTAGCAGATTAGAGTTTCAAATTAGGTTCAATCGGTGTCTTTACTGTTGGGTTTATTGCAGATATCACACCATATCCAAGGCTTGTCCTCGGCTTTGCGCTGGCTATTGGAAGTTCTACTCTCATTTGCATCAGCAGCAACTAGGGCAGAATTTTCAATCGATGCCTTAGCCCCTTTTTTCCCGAGCATAACACTACGGCAGCTTTCCTCCCTCCAAACTTCAGCAAATACCTCTCCACGTGAAGGAAGAGGACCACAACCAATGATATATCCTTCCCCTTACTTTATCAAATTCTACGTTTAGGCCAGCGAGAAATTTGTAGATGCGATTATTTTCCACTGTCTTCTTGTCATGATTGTAATCATCGACTTTGAAAATATCCAGATCCTGCCATAGCCTTTTCAACATATTGAAGTATTTGGTGACGTTATCTCCCTCTTGTCGAATTTTTCTGAGCTGTAGTTGCAGTTCGTACACTTAGGATTGATTGTCAAGGATTTCCTTGGCAGTACGTTGGATAACACATATAGTTAGAGGCGATGTCTTCATCCATGGAATTAACAAGCCAGGCCATAACCATGGAATTTTCTGCATCCTAAGTGGCATAAGTCTTATCCTTCAAATCAGGTTCCTTGGTATCACCAGTTAGGCACCCAATCTTTCCTCTCCCTCGGATATACATACGCACTGATTAAGACCAGCGCAAAAAATTGTCTCCATTAAGGCGTATAGTGGTTATCTGAATAGAGTGCGAATCAGAATTAGGACCACAATTTTCAGTAGGCTTAGAAGAGACTTCAGATGAGACTTCAGACATTGTAGAAGCTAGACTTCAGATATCCTAGTAAAAAATTTCTTTTTTTTTTTTTTTTTTTGGACATCCTACTGAAAAGAGTACTCAGAAATAAAGTTCATACTCTGATGCCATCTAAAGATTCTGAACAACAAAGAATTAGGAGAGAATTGTTTAGTGAAATGGTATTTTATTGATACTAAGAATGATATACACGTACACTTCTTATAGGCTATACATGGCATTAAAAAGGGAACAAAATAACTATACAACTAATTTTCCTTATTTACAAAGTTGACTATGCCTATATTAATTTTCCTTATTTACAAAGTTGATTAGGCCTGTATTTAAACATAAAATACAGCCAGGCAATCCCTAAAGATCAGCAATAAATCTTAACCAAATATTCTCCTTTACAACATGTTCTAACAATGAATATCATTTATACAAGTCTCATATTTGTATATATCTGCCCCCAAACCTTTTCATGTATATCAATTACATTAATATAAGGCTATGCCCATTCATCATTATTATAATACTAAATGATAAGGAGAATTTAAACAAGAGATAAGATGATGTGGTTCAATAGGGTAAGGATAACCTTGGCACAATTTAAAGTTCAAAGGGGTAGATCATATCCCCAACAAATCTGGCAACAAACGGATCTCCTCTGATTTCGCAAACGAACTGAGGGAGAACAGTTATAAGAATGAGATCATACCAGTCAATCAGGTATGATAAAAAATGATTATTAAATCATTGCCTTTCTTTTAGACCTCTGGTGAATGACTTGATCGTTGGAGAGCTCTTGGCAGGCACCACACCGGTGCCGTCAAGATTCATCAATCTTCTACTCTCTTCTTTGCCGGAAATGGAGAAGAAACATTGTTGCAGGGATCCAGTCAAAGAGAAGGGTCGGGTGAACACCCAAACGTCCCAAATGACCAGAAACGGCTTGCAGTATTGGAACTATAGGTCTAAACTCTGAATCAGGGTATGGACCAATTGTTCCAGCAAAATGCAGCGATCTTGCAACATCTTATCCCAGCATGACCACCACATCCATAAGAATTGTCTAACTCATATCCTCCCAATCTGAATGATGGGGGAGAAAACGAGGAGGACCGAGAAAACGATCCTTCTCACGAGTTCAAGGCAGAACAAAGCCAAGTTGGGAACCGACACAGAGAACCTCCTCCTCCGCCTCCGTGAAATCCCCAGCCTCAAATAGGCACAACCTTCTGTGTTGAGGAAAAGACAGAGAAAGTTACTTATTTTGATCTACAGATCGAGGATTTTGAGGCGAAAATGGAAGATGTAATGCAGGCTATGAAAGGGAAAGGTCCTGCCACCATAAATGACCTAGTGCAGAGGACCAATTTGCCGTTTAGCCATGCTGTTATGAAATGCCCCCTGCTTAGCAAGTTCAGGATGCCCTCGTTCGAAAGCTTCGATGGGACCAAAGATCCCATTGATCACCTGGAGACCTTTTAAGCTCTTATGCATTTACACGCCGTGCCAGATGAAATCATGTGCAGAGTTTTTCCCATAACACTTAAGGGATCGACAAGAGTTTGGTTCAACAAGCTGAAGTCAGGAACCATCGACACCTTCGAAGAATTGAGTAAACAGTTTGTGAGCTACTTCATTATAGGTTAGAGGCATAGGAGGCCGACCACCTACCTGCTTACAGTGAAACAATAGAAGGGAGAGTCGATCAGGGAATACATCACCTGATTCAACACAGAGATGTTGCAGGTAGAACAGGTGGACGACAATGTGGCTTTGATCGCTTTCATAGGAGGACTCTAAACCTCCAGATTCTTGTTCTCCTTATCAAAAGAACCTCCCACCAGCATGGCAAAGTTGTTGATCAAAGCGCAGAAACACATGAACGCTGAAGACGCCATAAATGCACTGAAGGGAAAGGAAGAAGAGGACAAAAAGATGTCAGCCCCTCTCGCCAGTGATGAAAATGATACCAAATATAAGAGATCATTCTTCAGCCAAAGCGATAGGACATATTATGAGAAGGACTCAGATAAGTATGCTGACTACACTCCTCTGAATATGTCAATTGACCATATTTTCTTACAGATTCAAGACGATGCGTCATTGAAATGACCACAGAGGATGAAGTCTGATCCAGTGAAAAGATCTCAAGATAAGTATTGCAGGTTCCATCAGGATCATGGGCACACTACGGATTATTGTTTTGAC